TTGAAGACTGTTCTCATGTCTCCCCTCAATTCTCCCAAGGGAAGTAGCGTGAGCCCTATATCTTGGGAGACTTCAAATTAGATCAGGCTAAGCAGTTTAGAGTGCGCTGTAGGAAGAGAAGCTGCCTCAGTAGGGACACAGAGTACCGTCTAGCTGCCTTTTTCCATAATGACCTCCTAGAACCTGTCTCAGTGCTTTTATCTGTATTTAAAAACACTGCACACTTTATTTGGAACAAGAAGGAAATTATGGAAAAATGAAATACAGAGAAAGGAAATAAATCTTGAAGACAGCTATTAATTTTAGGGACTAGTTTTGTAAAACTATTTACCATCTGCCCCATATCCCCTGTACTCACTTCTCTTGCTCTGACCTTTTCCTTAGAAACTTGCAAGTTTAAATCCTTCCCCAGTCCTCTCCTTCCATTTAAATTGTGATTTGGCCTTGTACTTCTGCAGCACTTAAAAAGTTTGCTTGGAGTATTTGTATTTTTGGTGATTCATTAGATTGCATCTGATGTGTCCTTCTTAGTTACTTACCTGAGGGCTTTTATAGCTGAAAAAAGCAGACATAGCTGAAGAGACGAGCATGCCTAGCTCTAATAAATAAAGCACATGGAGTCAATTAAAACAATGTTTAAATAATTTTCAGAAAGGAGGATGCTTGATGTTACTACATCAGAGGACCACAGTGACTTTTAAGCCAACAAACTGTGCAGGTTTACTTTCTCGTTTAATCTCCAGGTCTATAAAAAAGTGCATGCTTCCATAGCAGTCATCTACCCACTCCAACAGTTAACATGATTTTGGAATTATTTTAAGTCCAAACCATGTGAAAATAAATCCTAACTCAATTTTGTGGGATTACTTTGTTTCCATTAAATTCCTCTTTAAAGCATTTCATATGCTTGGTTTTATTATTGTTACTTCCAGGAATTTCTAAATACTTCCAAATTTGGATTGATTACAGTTTTTTAACTTTTCCTGGGGAAAAAAAAATATTTAAAAATGCAATTCCCTACCTACTTTCCCAGGTATTTACAAACCAAGATGTTTATATACATCTTAATGGATGCACACACGACACACACACACTGTCTGTGTGGTTCTTTATAGTCATAACATATTAGAAGGGGGATATATCAGATTTCACAAGTTAAACAAAACTGAGTTTAGTGAGTACTTAGAGATGAGAGACTGCCAAAAGAAATTGGGGCTTAGCAAAGAATGGTGAAGTCGTGTGGATGATTAAACAAATGACATCCTTTCTTCTGATTCTCCAAAGTAATGTGCATGTGCTTAAGGAACAGAGTAGGGGAGAGTTAAGCAGACGGTCTGTGGTGGTTTGGGTGGATTCACCCTTTTGCTTGCAGCTTGCAGCCAAACACAGCCTGCTCTATCCCCCCCCCCCCCCCCTCACCCAGGGAGCAGGGGAGAGAATTTGGAAAGAAGGGCGAAGACTCACGGGTTGAGATAAAAACTATTTACTAATTAAAAGAAAAATGATAATGATAACAACAGTAATAACAGACTATACAAATGAGTGATACACAGTGCTCACCGCCCACTGACCAATTCCCAGCCTGTGCCAGCTAACGATCCCGGAGCCGAGACGGTCCCGAACCGAAACCCCGGAAGAGTGAGCCTGAGCGATCCCCGAGAGAATGTGCCCGTCTTCCGGTCATCCCTGGTTAATATACTGGCATGACGTGATATGATATGGAATATTTCATTGGCACATCCAGATGCCAGTTTTGGGTTTTGCTCCTCACTGCGCTTCCCCCTCCCAGTCCTAGTGCAGCTGTGAAACAGACAAACTGTGGCCTTGAGCTGCAGTAACTAAAAACATTGGTATTTTATCAACATTCTTCTCATGATAAGTCTGAACTGAAACACTGAAAGTAAAATACTACTCTTCTAATTACTAAAAGGAAAATTAACTCTACCCTAGCAAAACCAGGACACGGTCACATGTCTGCAGGATGTGGGGTTGGGGTTCTGACCCTTCACTGAAAACAGTGCAGTGCCATTTTTGCTTGTCATTCTGTAGCTCAGTTGTGCTCTGTGTGAGTATAACACGCAGCTGCGTGGCAGTTGGTGTGGGGCTGCTGCCCATACATTTTGAAGTGACATTTTTCAATGAATAAACTTAAAACTTTCTCTACGATTATTCAAGGTTCTTTGGTCAACAGTGCTGTGACAGCTGTCTGTAGGTAGATGTAGGTGTGTTTCTTTAAGTACCTATATACTTCCTCACCACTTCCAACCTGTTTTTATATGTGCTGAGCTTTAAATACTTGTGGTGTTTTGCATGGGTGATCCTATCTGGAATTTTCCGTCCAATAATTTTTTATTGCAGTGATAACTGAAGTGAAATGCTTCAATGTAGCTGGCTTGTACCTTTGTAATAGACTTTGGTCATGAGGTCACTGTAAACACATGGATTGGTAAGTCCTAACCTCACTGAAGTTGACTTTTGCCTTTTACCTCAGTAGAGTCAGGATTTTTTACCTTGTAATTGAATTTTCCCAAATAATAGCAGACTCATTTTTCCTTTTCCCACTGTTTTGTGTTCAGGTTTCCCCTAACAGGGAGAAGACTAGATCTGCTTACACTTCAGCCCTCCAAGTTGGTACACAGTGGACACTAGATGCATTTTGACAGTGAATAGTCTGAAATACTTGCTGGCATCACCTTCCCATGAATCCTAGGCTCTCTCCAGCCTTTTATGTGTGGGCAGGAAGAGACTGAGGTCAAACCTATAATTGCAGTTCTAGAATATGCTTCATTTCTGCCTTCAATCAGGCTGCCTGTCCCTCTTTTAATTATGTGATACAGTCTCTGTTTCATCATTTTGCAATGAAGAGATTTGCCACAAAGCAACCTCTGTGGCATAGGATTTGGCAGAGGCATGCAGGATTTGGATTATGTTATCTCACAGAAAAGTTCACTGGATGCTTAAATCTCTTTTCTGCCTTCCTCTGTGCAGAGGTCAAACAGTCAGTGCAATATAATAGCGTACTTCTCGTCATTGCCCTGAGCTGCTGCAGCCTCACCCGCCAGGAGGGATGAGCTGTTCACAAGCTGCCTCTTTCCTCCTCATCGCCACCGTTTGGTCTTTGTGCAACAAAAACAGGCCCTGAGCTCCACAGGCAGAAACCCAAAAACTCCTTCAGGATTGCAGAGGCATCTGCACCCTCCCCTGTCCCTGGATCATCTGCAGAAGGACCTGGCAAGCTTGGCCCCAGGCTGTGCTGTCTGTCCCTTTAGATAACCCACAAGCATGTCTGTGGTCACTGCACTGGTGGAAGCAGAGCGGCAGAGCCCAACGGGGCTGGGAGGCCAGACCAGCCCTGCCCTCCTGCCTCTGCCAGGACTCAGCCAGACCTTGCAGCAGCAGCATTGCTAAGGGTGGAAGTTTGAGGGGCTTCAATAAAATACCAGTGCCTAATAGGAGCTTGGGGAAAGCTTGCACATCTACCTGTCCGATTGACTGAGGTGCATACTTTTCCTTTCTCTTTCCTAACTTCCTGTATGATGCATGATTTGTGAGGGATAACTGGAGACCAGAAACTTACTGGCTGTACCTTCGGTGAATTATACATTGCATCCAGCTGTAGCCACCCAGGCCATGTCTTTAGCCCAGATGCACCCACCACACTGGCCTTTTGACAACAGGAATATTTTCTTTAATTCATTGGTTTATGTTATATTTTAACTTGCAGAGCGTTTGCAGTGGTTGTTTTGTTACCTACAGAAACTTGTGTGTTTATAAGTTTTCTTGTAACTGGCCCTGGGCTTGACCAGTGTGAAATAGTAGCTGGGAAGTTTATTTTATTGCAGTCAGGATTATGGCCATTGCACGCAAAATTTCCTGTATCAGACTCACTTTTACTCTGTCTCCCTTGTTTTAAGAAAGAATCGTTACTGAGCTATGTAGGCAAAGAAAAACAACAAAGACAAAGATATAACAAATTGCCAGAGACAAGTATTACTGGATCTCTGAATATTTATTAAATTAAAAACAAAGATAAGAGAATGGAGCAGCATCTACCATAAAACACATTAATTAGAAGGGCTTTTACAAGCTCTGCCTAAAACAACACTATTGCAGTTTCTCTATTTTTCAGATTTTCCCCCTCCTCTGAACTGCTCCCACCGAGCTCCGTGGGGTGACAGTTCTAGGCCTCAGTATGGGAAAGCAGGGTGTGCACCGTCTCTTCTGCTTTTATTTCATAGCCATGGGCATCCAGGTGATTTATTTGAAGATAGTTGGAACATGCATGTGCAAATGATGAATTAACACACTGATACAGAAAATGGGCGTGTTGCTTAGATGGTCTGGTAGACAGGTCTTCACCAGACACTTGGGTTTCCTAGTTAAGTATGGGCTTATCCTGTGCAAATCACCTAATCTCAGTCCCTCATTTTAAAATGGAATCAATAGTGCTCTGTGACATTGCATGCCACAGCAAGTGCCTATGGCCAGTGCTATGAGAAGATGCTTTACAGGGCACTGTCCCCACTCTCTTCTACACCAACCATTTACCCTGCAAGTCCTATCCAACTTATCCAGCTTTTTCTAGAGCTGTCTCTGGTTTATTTTGCCACTATGCAATCCTCTATAGGGTTGCATCCAGTGCAGTACAGGAAGGATCCCCTTCCTGCTTGGGCTTTGCAGGTAAAACCCTGCTCTATACCATGATGGCTTCATTCATACAGCATGACAGGCTGACCGTGGAGTAGGGGTCAGCTGCCACCTGATGAAGACAGAGATGGTCAAAATTTTCAAGAGTAAAACCTGTCCTCACCCTCATTCCCAGGAAGTGGAACCTGTTGGGTAGTTAAGGTGTTCATCTAGCACATAAAGATGAGTGGTGATGCTTCCTTAAGCAACTGCATGTCCAGGCTCAGTGGAAGATACATGAGCATTTTTTCCTCTGTTTCTTTTTTATGTACATGAATTTGTTTTCAAAAACTTTTTTTTTTTTTCTTCCCTAGGAGATGACCCATTCCTGGCCTCCTCCTCTTACTGCTATTCACACTCCTGGCAAGGCTGAGCAAACCAAGTTTCCTATCCCAAGCAAGGTACAAGTAGGCTATTACCAGTGACCTGATTGACATTCTGTTCTGTTGAGTGTTCTTTACTGGAGAGTTTATTTTTGTAATTGGTTCCATTTTCAAAAATTTCTAACACTATTTTTAGTTGGAAATTCCAAATCAGACGGTTGTTACTGGTAAGACTGTTTATCTAAAGCTGCAGAAGTTACAGTGGAGGCAAAGTGAACTTTATCTCTGTTGTTATAAGAGTCTTTCTACATCAAGTACAATATATTTTATTTGCTTGTTTTTCTTCCATTACTGTTTGTGCAATGCAATGGATGAAATGGTTATTTGCACCTATTTAGTAACTAATTGCATGATAAGGTTTAGGCTGCATGGTCAGATTTACAGTGACTTAAAATGTTCTTGCATGTGAACAGTGCTATGGCATCTGTCTGTGTGCACACTCCAAGGACACGAAGTTATGTGATGTGATCCTTAGTATTGGCCTTGTTGGAAGTATGCACTCAGCACTTGCCATGTTGAAAGCACATGCCTGGAAAGTACCTGCAGTTCACCTAACACGTAGTGAATTGTTAAGTTGTATGATTTGAACATGCCTTTAGCCCAAATTCCGTTGTTGCCACCTAGCTATGATTCTGGTAGCACTGTTGAAGATCGAGCTCATACCTAGTGCAATTATTGATGGAGGTATCTTCTGCTGGGACCTGAATAGCTGTGAGCTGATGATGGTTGGGGAAGGTCAGAACTTCCCCAGTGTGGGAAATCTACACCAGTCTGACATGGAGCTACGTAAACATTTCTTTCTAAAGGCGGGACCTTGGAAAATAGCTTATAAAACTGGTACTGCTTGACATTATGGTTCAAGCTATCATATCATGTCTTAGAAGCTGGAATGTGATTTTCCTCTTACCGATTTTATCTGTTTGGCAGATATTTCTCTGTCTGAAATGCAGCTGCCATACTTAATTGGAAATCCTATGAAATTAGCAGTGTCTGTGGCTCCTTAAAAAAACCAAAGCCAGTGCCCAGAATGCCTTATTTTAATGGGATGTGATTGTTACTGCTCTAGCACTGCCATTGTTGCCACAGTGAACTGCTTCAGCATTAAGCATCAGAAGTCATAATCATACACAAGTATAATCCTCATTGCAAATTGGGTTAAAGTTGAATCCATTTAGGTGAAAGGGAATATAGTGACAGTAGAGGAGTTTGACCATTGGAAGCTGTATTTTTTTTAATTTATACCATCTCTTAATTCAGTGCTCTGTTTTTGATGGCTTCTACAGAAATTGGTCTCAGACTGCCACTATCTCCATTGGCAGGAGTATAAACATAGGTTCAGAGAAACTAAAATTTTGTTTTGCTTTTCTGTTTTTACTGAGTTTGCTTTGAACTTTTAAGATCCACATCAAAGTTAATTTCTGGGCATGTTAAATGTTGATCCTTAAATTCTTGACTGTATAACTTCAATAAAAAATATAAATTAGATTGATTTTTTTTTTTTTCTTGAGCTATCATTTCAGGAAGTAGGCAAGCAAGCACATAAATGTTTCTGAGTTTGTTAATTTTACTTTAAATAATACAACAGAAATGTCTCTTCAGAACATCACATTTAATCAATTATAGCTAGCTAAACTATAGATTTTAGACATTATGTGGCTAGATTGTACAGCCATATAAACCAGAGAAGGGCACTATTAAAAGTTCTCAATTTAACTATTAAAAAAAAAGTATCATCATGAGGAACATATATAAAAGGTGTGATAAAAAGGTGGAACTTATCAGAACAATTTACCCCTTTGACATTCAAATTTAAAGTGCCATGCTTACTCTTAGGGCATGATTTACTTCACAAGGGACTGACTGACAGCACAGTATAATATTAGGAACTAATAATGCCCTAAGAGGAAGTGCAGTAAGGGCTTTAATGACTTTAACATCCTACAGAACTAACACTTCCAGCAAAGTAGTGCCTGGCTGTAAGATGAGGTTGTAAATAACACCTTAATTCCAAATGATCAGACTCTGCTTGGAAGGAAAGCTGATTACAATCACTGTGGACTATAAAGCCTAGAGAAAAACTAAGCAAGAAAACACTGTGACATTAAGGAAGCAGCTTAGTTATTGTGAGCCAACAAGAATCCTGGCATTAGCATGCTCAGTGTTACAAAACAGATTATTTCCCTTACCTTATTTAACTAATGCTGACATTTTGTGTGTTCTTCTTTGTAGGACTCCCAACATCTGACCTCAGGATACAATGTACAAAGTAGGTCTTTATCATCCTAGTCCTAACAGTCAGGGTTGGGTTGTTTTGTTTGGGTTTTTTTCCCCCTGTTTAACATCATTAAAGCAAAGGCTAAAAAATTAATTTCTATGGTGCTAAAGCAGATCAGTTCCATTTCTTATTACATGTTATGCATTGTGGCATGTTGTGAAACCAAGTATAATTAGATGGGCTGACAGCTTTGGGTGCATTTTAATTCTACAGTAATCTTTGACATTTGAAAATGTGTTTCCTTTGTTTGCAGAGTGGAGTGATCCAGCAGGGAAAGTTGCAACTAAGTCAGTGCCACAAAAGTCGTAAGTATTATTATTTCCAGCTTTAAATCTCATTTTAAATTTATCATAAAAATGAGCTTATTTCTCCAAAGGTAACTAAAATCTAGCTCTGCTCATAATCTTGTCCTGGTGTTCAGGTGTTCTCAGTAGTCCTTAAAAATTAGCCATAAACCAGTTTTATGTTTTCAGTGCTTATTACTGTTTCTTCTTTTTAAGCATTAGCTAACAGAGGTATGTGTGAAAGATGAGTTTATTAAGCAGAAATAATGCTGATTTTAGTTGTACAGCTTGCCAAAATTAAATCACTTTTATGCTTCTCTCATCAGATACTAAGCCTCTTACAATAGAAAATGCAACCCAATGAACAGATGATGCAGGAATTTTAACATTCATAGTGAGAGAGAGTAAAACACATCATACAGAATGATTCTGCTAGCTGGTGTTGAAAAGCTGGTCTTGAGTTTCCTACACTTTGAAACAGCTGAAAATCACAGATGATCCATAAATATGACAGTTTAAAATTGTGGAAGAGCTAATTCTCCGTTGTGTTAAACCATCTTTCTTTGGTGCTTTTCTGGTGTAAGGCTGCAATAATGTGGCAGTGAGTTCAATGGGAACTGTTTTTTTACTTTTACTCCAAGATCTCAAAATAATTTACAAACAGGAATTAAGTAATAACTTTGAAAAGTAGGTTGTTGTTTATGAAAATATATGGGTCTGATTTCAGTTCAGAGCTGCTTTTTTTTAGTGTTCAAGTGTTTTAAACTACTGAATGCAGAACTGCATTAGCTTAACTGGCATTTGTATAAATACAGTATGTTCATTTAAAATTACTTCAAAATTATTCTAGTGGTTCCCCTTCATCTACTAAGGACACAGTTTTAGGTAAATCCCTATAGGGAAA